ATGCACAAAGGATCTCATTAGACATTTAGCAAAAGAGACATGCAAATGGCCAACAAATATGTGAAAAACTTCTCAACATCACTAATCATCAGGGAAATGCAAATCAAAACCACAATGAGATATCATCTCACCCCAGTTAGAATAGCTGTCATCAAAAAGACAAAAAATTACAAATGTTGGCAAGCATGCAAAGGAAAAAAGAACTCTTAAACAGTATTAGTGGGAACATAAATTAGTACAGCCATTATGGAAAACAGTATGGAGGTTTCTCAAAAAAGTAAAAATAGAGCTACCATATTATCCAATACTATTATCCAATAGCTATTTATCTAAAGGAAATAAAATCAGTATATTAAAGAGATATCTGCACCCCTATGTTTATTGCAGTACTATTCACAATAGCCAAGAAATAGAATCAACATAAGTGTTCATCAACAAGTAAATGGATAAATAAAATGTGGTATATATACACAATGGAATACTATTCAGGCTAAAAAAAGAATGAAATATTATCATTCACAGCAGCATGAATAAGCCTGGAGGCATTATGCTAAACTAAATAAGTCAGGAGCACTGACCCTGATGTGGGAGCTAAGAAAAAATTGAGCTCATAGAAGTAAGGAACAAAATTATGTTGTAGTGTTCTGTGGCACCCTAGAGTGAATATGGTTAACAGTAATTTAGTGTGTGTTTTTGAACAGATGAAAAAGAGCATTTTCATTGTCCATAACACAAAAAAATGATAAATGTTCTGGGTAATGGATATGCTAATTACCCTATTTTGATCATTACACATTGTATACATGTATCAAAATATAACTCTGTATCTCATAAATATATACAATCATTACATGCCAACTAAAAATGAAAGGATAAACAAAGATAAATCAAAAGAAAACATCTTTCTCATAGCTATAGTCTTTAAGGAAGTCACAGGCCTGCAAATCTGTTTTCCCAGAAAATGTATGATTTTTCATCAATATATCTCTGAGTGGTAGAATTATTAGCTACCTACAACATAAAACTAACTTGAAATCTCAAAATTTAAAGCACTGAAATGGATACAAACTATTTGTCACACCGTGGCAGCAGAAAATGTCTCTTCTATTTTTGACAATTAGGAATTCATTAGCCATTTAGGGGAAAGTGATCTCTATAATTTTTCTAGTTATTAATAATTGATATAGATATTTATTAGGAAATTATATAGTTCTACTTTTTTCCAAGAATATAAAATTATTTTGTAATGGCCTTCAAATCATTTTATCCAGTATGTGGTAAATAATAGTAATTTTTAAAAGATTACTAAAATATTCCTTTAATGTCTACATTTAAATTGTAAATGAATGCTATATTTCATTATTTGCTATGTAAAATTGAACACAGTAATATTTTGTATTCTAATGGTATATTTCAAGAAAATAAATGCCATTTGTGTTTCTAGGAAAATATTTTTCATGCAACATTTGCCATCATCAACTATGAAGAATTGAGGAAATCTGATCCTAGAATTCCTCCATAGCTTTGGGAATTTGATCAGCCTCTTAGAATTATATTCCATATAGAAATAATAAACTTAGCTGTTTCTAAATGTTACTTTAAAAGACAGCAGAAAAGCAGAAATCCCAAGGCCTAAAAATCCAACCAAAACTTTTAAAATTCAAATTAACATTAATGAAAATGATTGGGGGCACATAGTCTTCTGTGCAGTTATCTCAACATTAACTTCCCTTTCAATTATCAATTTAAAACATGCAACATGCTTTACGTATATTGTATATTTCTGAAAAAGAAGTTTCCTTACATAGAGTCCCACAAACTAACAGTGGAAATTTGATCCCCAGACTATCCATTATTCCTCCCTGAAACTCTCTGGACACAATCTTGGAAGTGACAGTAACTTCCACTGGTGGCATTTATGTATGAAAGAATGTAACAGAATATGCTATGGCATCCACAACCATGTGAATGCAGCTAAAAGTCCTTTGCTGTAATCTTTGTCATTATTCCTGTCAGCTACACAGTTGTGAAGTTGACTATTTTTTTCCTAGGCTAGATATCAGAAGCTGTAATTGAGAGAAGGCTGTAGTTATGCCTTTTCCTGCCCTTCATAAGTTTGATGTGCAGATGTCTTCTTCAAGGTCCACAGATTTGAGAAACTGTGGGCAAACTCAGTTTTTGTCACTCAAGAAGCTGCAGATCTTGGCTTTCTCAGTCGTAAGCTTATCCTCATCCCCAACTCACATTCTTTTTCTGAACAATTGGGCAAGACCCTCCTTCCTAAGAATTGACTATGTTAACTTCTTACTTCCTCTTCTTTAAGACTGTCATCAATAAACTTCATGATATTTTTCTCCTGGCATACTGACGACTACATTTCCCAGGCTTCCTTGCCTAAGTGGTGGTAGATTTGGGTTCTGGACAAGAAAATGACGGCATAATGATGTACACCACTTCTAGGATTTCCCCTAAAAACCTGGCCATCATTCCACTCATTTTCTCTCTCTCTTTTACCTGCCAGCCAGAAGCAGAGGATTTAATAAGAATCTCAATGGCCCTAGATGACAGAGCTATTAGATATGTAGAAGGACAATCAATGGATCCTTGAATAATTGGCAGAACGCCTCCCCCAATCTGCACTGGACTGAGACAGGGGCAAAATAATCTTTTATTTTAATAAGACACAGATCTATAAGAACCTAAAACACCATAGTGTTTTTAGGCTATGGTAACTATTATAAAAAGACCAATTCTTAAACCATTATGTTAGAAATACTTATGAAACATAACGCATGCATATATATTTTTTTTAATTGTTACACTACACCAACCTATGAATCAAATCACTAGGAAATATTTTTTAAAAGATAAATTTTTCTCATAAATCCCACATATCAAAATCTCCAAAGGTGGAATATCAAAAGTTTATATTATTATTTTCTTAACTCATGAGAATCAACTGATATCCTTTGGGAGTTAAGCCAAATGTCCGTGAAGCAGAATAACTGGAGCATATTTTATTGACCTCCTGAAAATTGCATTTAGAAACTTAAATTTGAGGTGTTTGGGGTAATTATGGGGAAGACATTAAAATTATATTTTATCCATTGGAACATACAGAATCTTCTATAGGAGGAGTCATTTTCAGGACTCGATACTGAAAATTATGGCACTTTTTATAATCATCTAGTGGTTTTTATACAATGAACATGGTCAAAAATCAAGGCTGGTAATTCTCAGGTGAGTTTCACATGTTCCTGCTAATATCTGGGAATATGACAGTATGGTTGAATGACCCAAGAGAACATTATGCATATTTCTGAATTTTTGAATCTTTACTTAAAGATTTTGTTTTACAAAAATAATAAGTTGAACAGGTTAAAAATCTTAAGGACATATTTATCATAATGTGCACAGTTATTATGGAAAAATTTCATAGTCTAGAGTTTCATGCTTTATGTTAAATATTAATTTTTTAAAAAAAGAACTTTTGATCACAGTGTACCAGTTCACCCCCCCAACACGTGGGCCATTGTAGACAGGCACATTCCTCACTGGTTAGCACTACTTTGTTTCTAGTCATTCGATCATATTTTCCATGGCTCAGTGGCTGCATTGGAAAATTTCAGCCAATGAGTGACTACCATTGTGAGGGTACAGGATTTTTTTCATTTACTATCACCTCTTTCATGATCTTAACTCCATTTGTCATTAGCATTTATTTCCTCAGTATTTTTTAAGCCACTTTAAGTTCTTGGAAGACAATGAGACAAAATTCAATGAATAAATATATGTACTATATTCATTTCTCTTTATTTTGATCTGAGAAAGCCTTCTGACTTCTAAATTTGCCTCACAGGAACTCTAAAGATATCAAAGCTTCAGGAACTCTAAAGATATCAAAGCTTCTGCACAGCCAATGAAACTATCACAAGAGCAAACAGACAACCTACAGAATGGGAGAAAATATTCACATTTTATACATCTGATAAAGGGCTGATAACTACAATCTATATAGGACTCAGGAAAATCAGCAAGAAAAAAATCAAACAACCCTATCAAAAAGTGGGCAAAAGACATGAACAGAAACTTTTCCAAAGAATATAGACTAATGGCCAACAAACATGAGAAAATTCTCAACATCTCTAAATATCAGAGAAATGCAAATCAAAATCACAATATCACTTATCTCCAGTGAGAATGGCTTTTATCAAAAAGTCCCAAAACAATAAATGCTGGCATGGATACGGAGAGATAGGAACACTCATACACTGCTGGTGGGGCTGCAAACTAGTACAACCTCTGTGGAAAGTAATATGGAGATACCTCAAAGAGCTACAAGTAGAGGTACCATATTTGATTCAGCAATCCCATTACTGGGCATCTACCTAAAAGAACAAAAGACATTCTATAAAAAAGATACCTGCACTCGAATGTTTATAGCAGCACAATTTACAGTTGCAAAGATGTGGAAACAACCCAAGTTCCCACCAATACATGAATGGATTAATAAAATGTGGTATATGTATACCATGGAGTTCTACTCAGCCACAAAAAAAAATGGTGATCTAGCACCTCTTTTATCCTGGATAGAGCTGGAACCCATTCAACTAATTGAAGTATCACAAGAATGGAAAAACAAACACCACATGTACTCACTATCAAATTGATATTAACTGATCAACACTTAAGTGCACATATAATAGTAACATTCATCAGGTGTCAGCAGATGGGAGGTGGGAGGAGGGTATGGGAATATACACACCTAATGGATATGGTGTGTACCATCTAGGGATGGATACACTTGAAGCTCTGACCCGGGTGGGGCACAGGTAATATATATAATCTAAACATTTGTACCCCAATAATATGCTGAAATTTTTTAAAAAATTAAAAGTAAATAAATAAATAAAAAGATATCTATGGATAGAGACATAACCATTTTAGAATTACAGTTTTTGGAAAGGTATGTTCCCCTTTGAAAAGTTTTAAATGTGTACCTGATTATTCATTTGTGTTACAGCTTCTCTAACCAGAAACCAGCATTCAGGTTGGCCCCAGACTTGAGCAAGTCACAGGTGTATTTCTGTGAAGTGTGGTCACATGATTCTTGTTTGCTCACTGAAGCAGTCCATGGTTATGAGGAAGTTTGAACTGTTGAGGGAAGGAAAGAGAAATGGAAATGATTTTAAAACATAATTGCGTATAAATATTAAATAAAGAGTTCATGTTTATAATTGCTGATAATATAAAATCTCTGCTTTTCCCAGATTGGAAACCACTAACTAAAAGTGTGTCTTCTATTTACAAAGTCAATACATGTTCTTTAAGAAGTTAGAAAATTAAGAGAATAAAATTAGGAAAAAAAAAAAAACATATTGTTTCCATCAAGTAAGATGTAATTTACAAAAGTAATCTGAAAGGATATACTCAAATATGTGGAATATGTATTGTGTGTGTGTGTGTATTCACACACATATACATATGAATATTATTATGATATGTATATAATATCAATGTATTAACAAATATAAATAAATATACAGATACATGTTTGTGTACATGTTGTGAACTGTGTTGCCTGTACTAATATACAACATGTTATTTAAACAGCATTTTCCAATATTTGCCTATTTACCTATAACATTGTTTTTACTAGTTTTGAATACTGAATTATAGATGGATAATCATTTATTTAATCCTTTCTTGTCAGGTATTTAAGTGTTTATGAGATATAGGTTTACCTTTTATTAATTATTTCACAATAAAATTCCTATCACTTAACTCTCTTCATAAGCAGAATTGTTAAGCCAAAGAATACAACCAGTTAAAACCTCCTTTGCCTGATTTCATGTTAAAATGAATTGAATCATATATAGCTTTTTACTCTATCATTAATGTAGATCACCGCAACTGGAAAAATAGCTATTATTGACAATGTGCATGTGAGTTATAGAATTTTAGAACTATTGGAATAAAACATTTTTATAAATAGAGGAATTTTAGTTAACTATTCAGGGTAACTTTTATTCATGTGACACTCTGCTTACACAATACTTTAATTCATATTTGGCTATTCAGGCCCAGCCACATCCCAGCAGTAATCAATATGTAACCTGATAGTGGAATGTTGAAACACGCTATTGGTTCAAACATAGCTATAATATTTGGAAATTATATAATATTTAGAGATATTTTAGGGCAATTAAAACTGTTCAGAAGCCAGGCTACTTATTTAGTGTAGGAAAACTGGAAACCCTGGGAGAAGGACTTGATGGAAGCTATTTTTTACATCAAACAGCCTATGTGACATTGTGGATTATATTGGCTTATCCCTTGTTTAAATAGTGGGTTTATGTATTTACAAAAGATCTATAGCATTCAAAAAGACAATTAATATGGAGTTAAATGTCAGAACAAAGGAATGATATGAAATTGAGTGATAAAAACAGAGAAATAATTAACAATAATAAAAACAAGCACTTAAGAAACTTTCTGTTTTTTGTCAATTAAAATCAAAAAAGAAAATCAAGAAGAAATAAAAAAGAAAGAAGAGACCATTTTATGAGAAGAGTTTATGTAATTGAATATATAGGGAAGGGGATATTTTAATTCATTATTTCATTAACACTTTATCACATAAGAAAGTGCCCCTTTTTTTTTTCTCCAAGCGTAACTTGAACATTATACCAGTAATTCCCCTTTACCTAGAGTATAGATTGAGTAGGTATATATTTCCTATTCCCCTTGAGGGCCATGGAATATACTTAAATCATCTTTATTTCATTTAATGAAGACCTGAAAACTGAATGTCACCTTTGTACATATTGTATGCTCTCACTGATAATGGCTTCATTTGGCATGAATCAAATGATGGCCCCAAAAGTCCTCACTTTTCAGTAACAAGATAGAGAATTTAAAAATTATCATATATATTGAATTATTCAATAAATAACTATGAATAATTAATGCCAAGGAATACAACAAAAGCTATCACAGCTTGCTTTACTGAGAGTTTCCTTCAGAAGTTAGGTGTTATTGATTTTCAAAAGAGAGCATCGGAATTGGGAGCCCAAAAGCAGTAAGTGAGGCAATTTATATAAGGAATCTACACATGAATAAATAATAGCAGAAGGAATGAGTCACCTCGCTAGAGAAATACTTCATAGCAGGAATTGACATAATGGTATATCAAATCCACTTCCTCCAATGTGTTGAGTGATCATGGAACCAAAATGAGGATCCACTTACAAAGACATTGGAGAGGAACTTTACTTTTGCACCATAGATAAGGTGAATGCTGAGCTAACATACGTCAGTTAGACTAGAGTTAGATTCCTATAGAGGTGATAATTGGGTCTGATTCAGGATAATCCTAACTGGTCTTTGTTCACAGTGCTTAGGTATTCTCAAAGAATACTACATCTCCTGTAGTGGGGCAGAGGTGAGTGAGGAGAAATGTAGTGGATAAAACCCATGAGCTTTATTAATAGTATTTTACAACTGTGCTCTTTGATATGACAATCACACCTGTTAGATCAGTTACCAAACTTATTTTGGCCCACAGAGTTTTAAAGGTCCATCTGCTTAGATAAGAGGTTTAAGATATATTAATTCTTAATGAAACCCTAAAGTGCAACAAGGAAACAGCTATCTGATTCAAATATATGCATACACTTTACCACCCTATATTAATAAATACCCTTTAATTCATTACATTGAGTTTCTAAAATAAAGAAGTCTTCATGTAAAAGTTCAAGCCAAATGATTATTCTAAATTAGAAAGCTATTTAATAATAACAACTAGCAATTTTTGGCATTCACTATTTGTCTGCCAGTGTTATATGAGCCAGAGTTTGGCAAATTATTTTTCATAAAGAGACACATAATATTTTAATGTTTGCAGGATATATAGTCTCTGTCACAACTACTCAACTTTGCCTTTGTAGAAGGAGAGGAGCCATAAATGATGCATAAACAAATAAGCAAGATTGTTTTATTTATGAACATTGACTAAATGGACACTGGGTTTCATGTAACTTGTCATGTATTACAAAATATTATACTTCTTTTCAATTTTCTTCAATCTTTAATAAAATGTGGAAACTATTCTTTGTCCCTGGGCTATACAAAAACAGGTGGCAGGGTGAATTTCATTCATAGAGTAGTTTGCCAATCTCTTTTTGTAATTGTGTGTACATACACACACACACACACACAACATTTAATCTTTGCAACAACCCTTAGGTACTATTATTATCCCCACTCAGAAAAGGAGTAAATTGTGTTCAAAAAAGTTAAAGTAGCTTATACATACAGCAAATGAAAGAAAGATTATTTGACCTGGCTTTAGAGTTATGTTCTTAAATATTTCTCCTATGCTTGAGTGTTTTGTCCTTGGAATGTGTGCATAGCACTATATTTCTTTCACTTCTGAAACGTGTTGGAAATATTTTACACTCACATTATGTTTTCTGGTGCCTGGCATCTGTGAATAACCAGAGCTAAGACTTAACTTCACTTTTAAACCTTCCCTGTACTTTGCTTTCATGACTGGTCAACACCATCACCCCCTAAAGTAGCCTGAAATATAACAAGCATCCAAAAATATTTATTAAATCAAAAACATACAGTGCACGAGAAACAATGTTGGACAGAGAAGCAACCAACATGAAGTTTATGCTACACCCTAGTTATTTAACATACCCCAAACCAAACAACAAACATAGCCCTACAAGAGTTAAAAACAAACCTACCCAATGTTCTTTCATTTTAATATCTCTGAAAATGCAAGAGACAATTAAGCTTCTTTCTTATGTAATCAATTATGGATTTGGATATTTGATTCAACTAATTGTCCATTTCACAGTTGATCATCATTTTGGAAGATTACATCTATTTCTTAGTGATATTATCAAACATGAGAAGTACAAATGCATTAAGAAAATTAAATCTTGCATAGTTATATAATCTAAATGATATTCAAGCAAGTCCCTTACTTTGTCACAAACTGCAAATTGCCTTGCTTATAGAACCAATTATATCTCATCTCACTGGGTGGCATAAGAGCATACAGAATAAATTATAAGAGTGGTACCATTCACAATAATGGCCATGGGCCTGAGAACCTTGCTCATGGTAGTGTGACCTTTTGCATTTCTACAGAAGGATATTGAGAACCAGAAAGGGCATAGTCAGACAGTTGGGCACATCACCTAATAGCCTGAAGATAATAAGTCAATAAGAATAGGTAGAAAAACTGATTCTTTATAGCATTTTAAAAACTTACCCCAATATCTTACAGCCCTTTCCAAGACTGGCTTAATGTTTGTGCTTTTGGTATAAGCCCTTTTCTTCCTGTTCTATACTCAGTGCACATAGAGAACAGCTGTTCACCCCCTCATTACAATTTCCCTCAAATGTATGATGGCATTAATTAAATTACGTTTTGACTGTGTTCTCCAGACTCGGTAATTCAAGACACTAAATTGTAACATAAAATTCTTATGAAATTACCTCATTTCTAATTTTAGCAAACTAAATCACTAGCTACATTAAAACCTGGATTTCCCCCCTTAAAATGGAATATCTGCTTAGTAGAAATTTCCTCTCTTTGTATAGTGGCCCCAGATGTGACATTGGAATCAAATATTTGTTCACTCTTTCAACAAATAATGTTGACATGAGGAGTGTCTTTTGTGTGGCAGGCACTATGCTACATGCTGAAAATGCAAACAGAGAAAACATGGAAATAGACCTTGCTTCCATGAAGCTGGCATTTTTATGGAAGAGAAATAAAATAAAAAGTAGATAATTTCATATTCTTAAAGATAATATTAAGTAAATAATCAAGAGAGCAAGGTAAAGAAAGAAGAATGGTCCAAGGGAAGGAGGGTTTAAAATTTCAGTTCTGCTATTCATATGCTTGGGTAAATCCCCTACGTTTTCTAAGCTTTTATTTCGTCATTTGTAAAATTGGTCAAATAATATCATCTACTGCATATGGCTGGTTTGTGGAATAATTTGAGAAAATAATTTTAGACGCAATTGGGGCAATGTCAAGGACTTTTAAAGAACTCATTAATAATAATAATGATTATATTAACTAACATTTAATATCACTATTTTCAACAGGGAGACAAAAGTTAGAGTTC